CGGGATATAATAAGTTTCTCCATAAGTCTTCGTAACACACCGGAAGAGGTGATGGAAGGTTTACGACCGCCTACGAAGAGGGAGATAACTAGTGCTGTGATGTCGGTCTTCGATCCTTTGGGACTCGCATCACCCATAACGATTCAAGGGAAGTCGCTGATCCAGCAAGTATGGAGGACAGGCATCTATCTCTTGGGATGAAGAAGTTACACACGAATTACACGTGTTATTTCGTAAATGGATATCGGAAGTGAAGAAATTAGGTCATTTAGAAGTACCTAGACCCGTTGCTGAAGGCGTCGGCAAGGGAGAATTACACACCTTCACGGATGCTAGTGAAAAAGCATACGCTGCCGCGGTGTATTACGTCACCACGGACGAGCTAGGAGAAAGGCGGATTACGCTGATCGCCGCAAAGGCAAGAGTAGCGCTGCTGAAATCAATTTCTATTCCAAGGCTTGAATTGCAAGCAGCTCTTATGGGCAGCAGATTAGCTGCATCAGTTATTGAAGAGAGCAAGTACGAGATATCCGAGAGAGTATTTTGGACGGACTCATGTACAGTGTTAGCGTGGATTAAGTCAGATCCTCGCGCTTTTAAAGCATTCGTTGCTCATCGATTGGCTGAGATCGAGGATCACAGCAAACCATGTGAATGGCGATGGGTTCCAACGTCACAAAACGTGGCAGACGACGCCACTAGAAATTTTCCTTCCACCTTCGATGTAAGTCATCGCTGGTTTCAAGGACCTGAATTCCTCAGGAAAAGTCCTGATTTATGGCCCAAACAAGTGGACACCATAAATAGCTTAGAAACAGGTGAAGAAAAATCGCCAAAAGGCGTAAATGCGCTGAGAAAGCAAGAACCGTTAAGTCTACCCGACTACGAACGATTTAGCAGCTTTAAGAAATTCCTTGGGGCAACTACACGCACCTTACAAGCGGTAGAAAAATTCAAGAGTTTAAGAAAGTCGGTTAAAGGACCCGACAACGCAGCCGAAAACTCGGTTATGTGTTCCAACGAAGTTTTAGCAAAGTCGGTTAAAGGACCCGATGGCGCGTTGGACATAGCGCTCTTGAAAAAAGCTGAATTATTCATTTGGAAGTTCGTTCAAGACGAGTGTTTTCATTTGGAAATAAAATGCTTGCAAGCAGGCAAAAGCGTTGAAAGAAGTTCACTCTTAAATAAATTATCTATGGAAATAGGAGAAGATAACTTACTCCGTTTAAATGGGCGTTTACCTTTTAAGTCTAATTTGACCGAAGAAAGTAAAAAACCTGTCGTATTAGACGGTAAACACGAAATCGTTAAAATGATGATTAGAGAAGTTCATCATCATTTTGGACATGCCAATCACCAGACGGTGATGAATGAGGTGACCTAAAATTTTATGTCTTGAACCTGCGTAATGTTGTACGAAGTGTGTCACATCATTGTCAGTGGTGCAGGACATACAAGTCAAAACCGCAGAACGTGCCACAAGGAAATATTCCTCTGGAGAGAATAGCTCACAATGAACCACCTTTTATATAATGATTTCTTAAATTTACGCGAACACTACATGAATTTGATTTTATTTTTTTTATCCGAGTGTGTTTACAGCGCCCATGGTCACAGTCCCCCCGTGACCATGGGCGCTGTGTGGGTTTTAGTTGCGATAAATCCGTAATGTTATCCTTATAGTTCAGCCGTAGATTATTTCGGACCTATGAGTGTGACTATAGGAAGGCGACACGAAAAACGTTGGGGTGTTTTATTCACGTGTCTGACCACCAGAGCAGTACATCTGGAATTAGCAGCCTCATTGACACCAGCGTCAATGATAATGGCGTTGAGGCGATTTATCGCCAGAAGAGGAAAACCAGCCGTTATATACAGCGATAACGGGACAAATTTCAAAGCTGCGAATAAAGAATTATTGAAAGCATGCGAAGAATGCTATGAGGGCATGAAAAATGAGTCATTTAAAAAATATATTAAATGGAAATTTATACCTCCGGGAGCACCGCACATGGGTGGCGCCTGGGAGAGGTTAGTAAGATCAATTAAAATTGCGTTGACCGCTACGCTCAAAGAAAGGAGCCCGCAAGAGGTTCTGCATACGTTGCTTTTGGAAGCAGAGCATACTGTAAATTCCAGACCTCTGGTAACATTCAGTATGGATAGTCCTGAAGAGGGTTTGACACCCAATCATTTTCTTCTGGGACGCTCATGTGGTGATCGACCACCTGGATTATTTTTAGAGCAACATCTGACGGGTCAACTCAATTGGAAATCTGCACAGAGGTTAGCCGACCATTTTTGGACAAGATGGCTAAAAGAATACATGCCTACTTTAATATACTACTTTAATAAACGGAAAGTTTATGGAGCCTAAAGAAGGTGATATTGTCTTGATAATAGACCATTCATTGCCACGAAATACGTGGCCGAAAGGCAAGATTAGTAGGACGCTACCGGGACCAGACGGTCACACTAGAGTGGTTGACGTCATTACTAGCACAGGTATCTTGAGGAGACCTACATCCAGAATAATAGTCCTGGTACCCACGACGCCTCCCAAATGATGGTGCTGATGCACGGGGGGGAGATTGTGGCAGTTAGATATTATTATTTAACCGATTACGAATAGCTTCTAAAAAGCAAATTATCAAGCAACAATATTCCGATAAGAAAATGCTTTGTTGAATCTTAAATATCGAATTAATGATATGAAGGTCTTGGGTTCGACTCCCAGGCCGGAATAGTTTATCGTTTTCTTAGTAATATCTCTTAATAAATTCATATAGGGAATTTTAAGATATAAATTATGTTACCGGATTTGTTCCCCGGTCGAGATGATCGCTGTGCATAAGTAGAATTAATGGAAATTAATTGCATAAGTATTGTCTTATATGAGTTTGATATGTTTTGTATGAAAACAAATGCCTATTTTCTATGATTGATTTATGAAAACATTCACTTATATTGTTTGATAAGAAACGTGATAACTGATAAGAATCTGATTAGAGGTAGTTTTCGGCGTTTGAGAATTGAGTAGAATCATTTATTCACCTAGTATTGTTGATATTAGTGTATACTAAACTTTCCATTTTTACTGATAGTCGATAGCCGTGCAAAAGTTAGTTGTTCAAATAGTGTGAGTTGATAGACGCACGCTAGCCACGTACTTAGAAGGCCAAATATGTAGAAATTTAAATATTTGCAAATTTCAGCAATTTATGTAAAATGACTTGTAAAACATTTCAGATTGATTGTACGTGTAAAAGAGGTGAATTCTGTGTTATTTTTATGTGAAAATTCCTGTGAATAAGTGAAATAATGATAGTTTTGTATAAGAAATTTAAAAGTGTTTTAATAGTGAAATGTAGAGAGAAAATGTAAATTAAACTATTGTATTAGTTAAGATATTAACTTTCTATGTTAAATATTTAAGAAAATCCAACTTTGAACATGTGAGTAAAATAAGTATATTTTGTTAAATAAAGGATTTTTTGTGATATGAAAATGTAATGTATATCGTAGTATAGATATTTCCTTGTGCTATCTTTATAAGTAAATTGTATAAATGTATGTCTTATACAAATAAAGTTATTGAGCAAACCGTGAGAGAGTGATAGTACAAATTGATGTAACTGAGTTGCGCAAGCGCACAAATGGCGCGGCTCACTTTCGCGTTTAGCTTCGAGGTAGTTCAGTAAATTGATTTTTCTTGCAATTCGTTCGGGAAACTTCGGGAAACTTCGGGATAGTTCGGGAAAAGTGCAAGACCAGCAGTCAATAAGAAGAAGAAAGAAAAAGTATAGGGAAGTGATAGGGAAAAGTAATTACTCTCTCACGGAACGGTTTGAAGATAATTGCTGTTTTATTTCCAAGGAATTCTCCCCTTAAAGTGATACAGTCCATATCGAAGAATTAAGGCGTTGGGACCGGGACGACTTCGGAAGACCCGTAATCCCCGCCTGAACCTATTTTCTGAAAAGGAAGAGGTTATCGCCCTTGTGTGTTACTCCGTTGCGGAGATCACATACGTTGTTCCCGAACCCAACGTAGGCGTTATAGGAGGCCGGATCGAGAGAAGCCTCGATTCCTCCCTTCTGCTTCTTAGTTTAACGTTTGTCTGGTTCCTTTTCACTCAGACATGCAAGTTTCCTCACGACATTTTCCTTCAACGCCGAACACGTTGCATATTATCAGTTAAAATGCAATTATCAATTTGGGTTTGATCCCCGCCAGCTCACACATAGTGGAATTAAGGCGACACCGTGAAAAATTGCACCACCTTTCATCGAATAGTATAGGACTATGACACCACTAACGAAAGTGGAATTTTGATATAGGTAAATTCATGTCTTTATCTTGAATTTGATTGTTCAAAAACACGATTGTATAATTTTGACTCGATCATAATTATTTGCGAAAACACCTCTAAAAATCACTATAGTTGAAATTACAATGAAATTACTTAATCTATATACTTGGGAATCACTCAAATATATTCATAACATCAATATTCATAACTTACTTGTTCATTATTTTGATAAGTTAAATCAATAATTTTTAAAAAAATATTTTAAGATTCTGACAATTTCTTAGCGCTTTTAATCGTCGCAGGCGATACGCTATTTTAGGCCTTATGACGGCGTTTTTTCAAGTTTTTATAGAAATTATGTATTAGATAGCCTTTTCGATGTGTCGTCTTAAGTCGAGTACTAAGCTTCCATATATATCTATATAAGTATATTTGGTATTTCTGTCCGTGTGTATGTGACTGAACTTCTCCTAAACGCCTGGACCCATTCTGATTAGGTTGATTTGAGATAAGTTTAGATTCACAATTGGACCAATAGGTGGCGCTGCCGTCGAGATCCAGAAATCCCGAAGTCGGAGTGGATATGCAAAACCGGGGTGGATCGACAGTCTGTCTACATATAATTATGTTTAATAGGTTTCTATTTACCTAAATAATTGGTGAATAAATATTACTTACTATGCTATCCTCAGGCTAGCGACCGGGGAATGAACACGTGTACCAGCGAATCCCACCCGCAGTCGGCTATCTGATGTGGCCTCAACGCATTCCAGTCTAGTCCGTACGTGAACTCAGAATGATGCCGAATCGTCTCCAATGGCTCACAGCCACGCTTCAAGTCCCAAATTCTGTAAAAATTCAATTACATAGATTATAGGACTTCATATTTTTTACAAGGTAGAGCCATGCTGCAGCTATATTATGGTTGCAGCACTAATGGGTCAGCTCGACCGGGGAAGGATCACGCTCTCACAGAATACCAGCTGACCCGAGAACGTGCTGAGACACGCCTCTGATTCAGGATCCCACTGGATTGAACAAAATTATTATAAACCAATTAATGTATTATAGAGACAATCATCAAATGCGTACGTGGTAGAGCCACGTTGCAGCTATATTATAGTTCTAACACGAATGGGTCGGCTCGACCGGGAAAGGACCACGCTCTCACAGAATACCAGCGTCAAATAACAGCTCAACGCTGTTGTGTGTCGTATGGTGAGTGTAGAGAACCAGAGATCCTTTTCACTGGAAAGGAGGCATTCATCTTAGTCCTCAGGGGTGGCAACGCATCTGCATTTTGATCCTTAATTGAGGATAGATGTAGATATTTATGGGCCATAGCATCCACTTACCATCAGGTGGACTGTGTGTTTGTTTGCCACCCTAATTCTACAAGGTGCCCATCACGAAATAACCGCCGGGCGTCTTCTGATTATTTGGACAAAACTATCAACAAATACCATCAAACAAATAAGACCTGTACTTTGGTTTTTTTAATTAGATTTTTTTTCGTAGAGACACCTGACTTGTTGCACTATTCTCAAGATATGTTTCTTTACATATGTTTTTCTTTTTTTTTCTTTACCAGTTATCATAGTTTATCAATTCGATGTATAAAAATGTACCCAAAATTAAACAAGACATTAAAAAAAATTAATTACCTCTAAGTTTTAAGAAAAAATTACCCGTTTTTATTCAATTTCCCTAAATTGTTGAATAAATGCCCAATCAATATTATTATTTTATTAATTATTTATTATTAAATTATGTCACATTACCTACAAAATCTCATAACAATGTTTCTAGCTATCTCAAACATTTATCGAAGTACAAACTCTTGAAATATGCACCCTATTTTCAATAATAAATAGAGCAGAGCTTTATTTGCATGACACACAGTTCGGGTTTAGGCCAGGACAATCAACCGAAAGTGCTATTTTAAGTCTAAAGCACACCGTTCAATATGACGTAGATCATGGTACACCGGTTTATGCTTGTTTCCTTGATTTTTCCAGGGCATGTGATCTCATCTCATATGACGTGCTCTGGAGGAAGGTAGAAGACAGGGTGTACCGTCAGAGATATGTGGTCTGTTGAAATATTGATAGAGTAAACAAATAAATCACGTGAAATGGGACGATACTCTTAATGAACCGTATAGGTTGGAATGCGGGGTAAGGCAGGGGGATCTAACGTCTCTCAGATTTTTCAACCAATACATGGATGCCCTCATAGGCGAGCTCAGCAGCAAGCATGTCGGATGCAGTGTTGGTGGGGTTAGTATTAACATCATCAGCTATGCAGATTACATGGTGCTGCTGGGACCGTCGGTGAGGGCAGTAAGAAAATTACGTTTACGAGTGGTTCACGATAGTAATTGAATGGCGGAGTTGAACCCATACATTTTGAGTTCGCAGTACGCACCCTGCCATTAGCGTTAGAGAGTAATGATAAACTTATTTAATATTTCCGACGCTTCGAGCACTTTACAGCACCCATGGTCGCTGGGAGGACAGTTATATACGCGATAAAATCCATAAAACTAGTTTTATTCAGATGACAGAGAGCAGATGTTATACCGCTACAAATACCTTCGCTGCGCTAAAACTTAATAATCCGTTATTAGAATACAGTCCTTCTTTTTTGCTTGATAAAATCAACATAAACACTATGCCATACTCTTACCGACATAAACCGTACAGTGGTCGCCATTAGCCCAGATGAGGAATACCGGGGTTCTGTGTCCGAGACGCATCTGCAACACTATTGCTCTGAACATTTAATACGGTCGGGGGCAGTACTTACTATTACCACAGAATAAATCATAGTTACAAGAACATAAGGATTACTCTATGATAGCAAACTTGCGAGTTTAAACCTAGTTACAACGTCGCTAATGTTCATAATACTTTGCACGCCTCGGAAGCGACCTTTGTGAAAATGGCCACCGAAATCGTCGAAATAAATTAATGCGGCGCGCGTATTAATTCAAATCCGCGTGCAAAAAAAAGTGTCTATATTACTTAGTCCGTTACGCGCCTTTGTTAACGCCGTTCCTACTGTAGGGTTATGTAATGTGAGAAAACAAATTGAATCCTTTGATATTAGCTAGTAGTAGAATACACCGAGGTATTACGCAATGTATGCAATTTACTAGTTATTTACTGATAATAAGAACATTAGTGTTCAATGTGAGGAAGGTTAATATGCTAACGCTTCGAATACACCTAATTCGTCATCGGCCGAAGTTTGCTCGGGCGATGACGGCCGAACTCGGACGATCGAATCAAATACTTGTAAAACAAAGAGAACGCGTACACAAACACGACCTTCATCGTCCGATAACGTACGAAGACGGCCGATCAACCGTCGAGTCCGAACTTGTTGGGATTTCCCGACTGCCGTCTACAGTGCAAATTGAGTGTATTTATAGTTTAATTTAATCATTTTGTCTTTATTTTATTGTTTCTATCAGTGTTGTTATCTACCTAAACAACTATGGATATTGAAAATAAAAAGAAATACCGGTAACGTACAATGTCGGCACAAGTGGTACACTGTTGCAGTGTAAGCACGTACACGTCCGAGTTACTCGTCCGGGTAGTTCTGTCCGCCATCGGCCGACAAAATCGGTTTTGGTGTAAACGTACCGTTAGTCTAGAAAAATTAACACGACACGTTCTTTCACTCGCGATCGAAGAGTGCGCAATTGAACGCGGGAAAGCTTGCACACACAATCGTGAGTGGATTGTCTTTATCCATTTTTATGTGCGTTGACTATTTCGCGCGCTATTACTACTGTATTTTTATTCAGAGGAAAGAGCGTCGTGTACAGGCTAATCGCACGTGATTCAGTACGGGAAACTTCCGCGACCTGGAATGTCTGTAAATCAAGCAGTTTTGTTAAACGCGCGTTCTGAAGACTAGTGTTTTAAACAAATGGGTTAGAAGGAATATTACACAAGCAGTTATGTTTGCTGGTCTAAGCGGATAATAGATTATTTATTTTTATATATTATTTTTAATATATTATAAATAAAATAAAACATAAGATGGTGAAAAGGACCAGGTCGGTGTCCCTCTTGATCCTGAAAAGGACCAATTGAAAAGGACCTAGCGGATCGGGTACTAAGAAACAGGAATCGAGGCTTCTCTCGATCCGGCCTCCTATCACGCCTACGTTGGGTTCGGGAACAACGTATGTGATCTCCGCAACGGAGTAACACACTAGGGCGATAACCTCTTCCTTTTCAGCAAGTAGGTTCAGACGGGGATTACGGGTCTTCCGAAGTCGTCCCGGTCCCGACGCCTTAATTCTTCGATGTGGACTGTATAACTTAAAGGATCTTGGGAATGAAACAGCAATTATCTTCAAACCGTTCCGTGAGAGAGTAATCACTTTTCCCTATACTGCTGGTTTTTCACTTTTCTTGAACTTTTTCCCGGATTTTCTTATTTATTTCCGAACTATTTCCTTGAATATTTCCCGAAAGATTTCCTTGAATATTTCCCGAACGATTCCCGAACGATTTCCTTGAATATTTCCCGAACCATTCCCGAACGATTCCCTGAATATTTCCCGAACCATTCCCGAACGATTCCCGAACCATTCCCGAACGAATTGCAATAAAATCAATTTACTATCCTACCCCTAAGCTAAACGCGAAAGTGAGCCGCGCCATCTGCGCGCTTGCGCAACTTAATTACATGAATTTGTACTATTACTCTCTCACGTTTCACTCAATATCTTTATTTATTCAAATCATATACAAATACAATTTATCAATATAGGTAGTACAAAACAATATCTACACCATGATATACATCATATCTTCATATCATAAAAAAACCTTTTATTTATTAAACGAAAACTGCCTATTTTACTCACAAGTTCGAAATCGAAATTTCTTAAATATTTAACACAGAAAGTTAAAACAATGTTTCTCACTTGAATTTATACATAAGCTAACCAATACAATAGTTTAATTTACATTTTTTCTATTTATTTCACTATTTAAAACACTTTTAAATTTCTTATACAAAACTATCATTATTTCACTTATACACAGGAATTTTCACATGAAAATAACACAGAATTTACCTTTTTAGCACGTACAATTAACCTGAAATATTTTACAAGTAATTTTTACATAAATCACTGAATTACAAACATTTTAAATTTTTACATATTCGGCCTCCTAAGGGCGTGGCCAGCGTGCTTCTATGAACTCACACTATTTGAACAACTAACTTTGCACGGCTCTCGGCTATCAGAAAAAATTAAATTATGAAATACACCAATTTTGACCATATTAGGCAAATTAAATGCTTTTATACAATTTTCGAACTGTATGAAACTATCTTTAATCAGATTACAATATAAATGAATGTTCTCATTAATCAATCATAACAAATAGGCATTTGTTTTCGTACAAAACGTATCAAACTTATACAAAACAACATTTATGCAATTAATATCCATTAATTCTGCCTATGCACAGAGTGATTATCTCGACCGGGGAACAAATCCGATCTTTAACTTCACTTTAATATTCTTATGAATTTACATCATTTGAAAGATGATTTCAACCGGGGAACAAATCCGGTAACATAATTTATATCTTAAATTCCTTACGAATTTATTAAGCGATATTACTTAGGAAAACAAACAAACTAGTCCGGCCTGGGAGTCGAACCCAAGACCTTCATATCATTAATTCGACATTTCTTAAAGATTTAACTAAGCATTCTCTTATCAGAGCGTCGTTGCTCGTGACTGCCCCTTTTTTCATAGCAACGTCATCGGTTGATTTAATAAACTGAAACATTTTTATAGGCGCGTCGC